AGACAGCGAGTCGAATAAAAGTTCCGATGCGAAAAGTACAATGTTGCAACGATTGTTGCGATTCCGACGATGCAGTGCGTGATTTGACGCGTTCACAGCCGTTGACGTAAAATTACGTCATGTGTAATATAGGTATGTAATATAAATAATAAACATTCTATTTAGACGAATTTTACCTCTTTTAATATTTTTTTTTTCAAGCTATCTTATCGATATCAAGCCCTTATTTATTTTAACGTGTAAAACTACCGAAGCAGAAAAAATGTAAATATTCTTCTCTACTGCAACGTCCTTTCTTTCTTTCCTCTACGTTAGCCGGACATAACACATTCCCGTATATATGTATATATATATATATATATATATATGTATGTATACTTTGAGAAATTCGACTGGAAATATTTTTCATTCGACTTGGTGACAACGACATTCGAAAATAAATTTTATGATACAAGGCTGCTGCAACTAGATTTACACACACCTACCTCTTTCAACGCGGTTTTCGATTTTTCACGCGTGAATTTCAACAAAATCGTTAGACGAAAAAGACGATGATCGATCGCAAGCCGTAAGATATCGCGTACGATCGAAATTACTATACAATCGGAAACGATAAAGCAAAACGCATCCAAGAGAAAGTCACAGCGCCAAGGATTTCGCGTAATCGTTCGTTTCGTCTAATCGAATATTCTGAATAATTCTTTCGCTGAAAAGATTTCACGAGATTTGAAGTATTGTGAAAATGATTACTTTATTTATTGACACCTAACCTATTAGGAATATAAGACGGCAATTATCGACACACGCGAAGCTGACTCGATCGATCAAACAAACGAGGATACATCGGCGTAAAGAGAAATAGAGATTTGCGACGAGAAGAGTGGATTCGTCTGGAAATATGGATCGTTCGATTACAAAACTTGAAAGCTACACAAACGTGGCATTCGATCGAGACCAGACAGTTTTCAAATATCGCTGAATTCGCTAATTTACTTGCATTTCGTATCATGCGTGTAATTTGTCACGTGACGAATCTTTCGTCGACGAATTCTCTGTCAATCGTTTTTCGATAGGACGCCGAGTGTCGATGCATCGGAACGTTATGCGAACCCTGGCAAACTTACTTCTTATCGATTCAATGGAGTGCGATCAAACGAAAATAAAAACAGCAACGGAGTAACAGATAGCTCTAGTTTGGACAAAGTACGATCTACGCTCAAACGTTTGAAAACAGCCATTTCCTTATCTCATTTTCCATTTAAAACGACAGAAGTTTAACGCGAAACGTTGTATGCGTAACTTATTGTACCGAAATGAATCGCGCACGTGATACTAACGTGGAACGCGTCTGAAAACACTCGACAGAATCGGTGTTGCCGTTGCTTAAAAGCCATGTTCCTAAGCAAATAGGTACAATGATATTTATACGATACGCTCGACGGCCAATCGACCATGTATCAAATATACGTGTACGATAGTATCGGTAATATTCTTGTTCGGAAAAGAAAAGGCAAAGTAGTTGCTTGTATCGATTTTTTCAAATTAATCGACGTTACGAGATCGCTTCAAACGGATCGTCCAATTGTACGCATCGACTAATTGCGAACTTTAAACTTCTCGGCTAATTTAGCGTTCCTTCGTGTAATTATTATTATAATTATTATTATTATTATTATTGTTATTGTATTATTGTTATTATTATTATTAAAAATGGTTGCACGCAAACTACAGCGATACGAGAGACAATTAATTAAATCATCTGTCCAAGTCGAAATGCAATGTTGCAATATACTTCGATGAAATATTACTTGATTTTTTTATTCGACACACAATTCGACCAACGCTACGACTCGAATGCTTCGTAATATTTACAACATTCACCGACGAAAATTATCATATAATCTATTGGAGTTTCCTTTGAGGTACGTTCACAAAAAATCGTTATTACAAGTAATCGTCGCACAAGTATGTAAGCATACGTGACGTCACCTTCGGTTAACTTTCAATCGCAAACGCTTCTTTTTTCGAGTCGATGTGTTTTCATAATATTCATCTAAATTTCACAGATTACACAATTTTCCAACCTATTTACGGCGTTAACGCGCACGTATTCTTGTTTGCTCAGGGCATCAAACATTTGCTGCATCGAAGGCATCTCGTGGCTATTGTTTTATTTTATTTAACACTCTTTTCAAAATAAATAAATCGCGATTACTTGGTTCGTTTACTCAGTAGCATTGGACGCCAGAGTATCTCTATCGGTGTCAGAGTATCTGAACTCGACAGCAACAACCGTCTCTCTCCCTCCTCTCATCCCTTCTGTATCTCGTTCTATTCTTTACTCTTCTACAGTTTTCCTTCCCTACTAGTTCTTCGATTCTCCTATCCTCCGATGATTCCCAAGTTCCTAGCCACCGTTTCTTTCACACGATTCGCGCGCGCGCGCATACACACGAATACGACGCATCCTCTATATTACACTTGCACACCTTCTTCACCTTCTGTTCTTTGTTTTCGTTTCTACCGGTGCAAAAAATAGTGTTGCTATTATACTTTTTACTTGGTGTTTCCTGCATTTAAAAACTGTCGCACTTCATAAATCTAAGCACTCTGTATCGTAAAGTTATACATCGAAGTGTGTTCATTTCGTATGACGTAAGGCTACTCGCGCTTCGAGCATCAGAGCGTGGAGCACCGACCGTGCACCTTATCAACGTTCAGTTAAGAAGCAATTGTACGGAGAATCGTGGCATCCTCGTTCACAGAATCGAAGGTAAAACACCTTTGAGATACAACGATGATCGTTTTACCCAACCTTTTTTCTAGCTCGTAATCCGTTTCTAGACACGACACTCGCACGAATGAAATACTTGCTTCGCATGACGCGAAGCGTTACGATCGTTTCGCGCTCCACACTCGTACGCTGGAGGTGTTCGCCGACAAAGACACACGAAACTAACGCCTCGTAAACACATACATATACGTGCAGCAACATCGCGTTGCGTGAATTTCGTTAACGGATATACGCCGGATCGTACTAGGAAGGAGCGGATAACTTTGATACAAGTACTATCAGCCGGTACGCGATACGTCTCGAGCGTGCGCACATACGTAGGTACTTTCGTACGTTACCACCTTAAGGTTATTTATTTAGAAGTTTTCTATCTTATTTATCATTAGTACTATTACTAACGCGGTGCCCTGGCTGTCGGTAAACTACATAATGTATAGCTATACTTATATAGCTAAATAAATTAAATATATGCATATAGCTATATTTGAAATGAAACTACATTCATCGACTGAGATTGTGTTATGCACCATGCACGTGGTTCTTTTCCCCTCCGTGTGCAACAGATTTTGCATAATCCAATCGCTAGTGCTACATACTCGGGCACCAACCTCTCAAACGACATTACGATCCAGTTCGATAGCAAATGCAAATTAATTAACGATTACTCGAGCGAATCGGAAGTAAACGTTATTCCTTGTTTAAAATTCAATGTAAAATGGAAATGGATAACAAAAAAAAAAAAAAAAAAAAAAAAAAAAAAAAAAAAAAAAAAAAAAAAAAAAAAAAAAAAAAAAAAAAAAAAAAAAAAAAAAAAAAAAAAAAAAAAAAAAAAAAAAAAAAAAAAAAAAAAAAAAAAAAAAAAAAAAAAAAAAAAAAAAAAAAAAAAAAAAAAAAAAAAAAAAAAAAAAAAAAAAAAAAAAAAAAAAAAAAAAAAAAAAAAAAAAAAAAAAAAAAAAAAAAAAAAAAAAAAAAAAAAAAAAAAAAAAAAAAAAAAAAAAAAAAAAAAAAAAAAAAAAAAAAAAAAAAAAAAAAAAAAAAAAAAAAAAAAAAAAAAAAAAAAAAAAAAAAAAAAAAAAAAAAAAAAAAAAAAAAAAAAAAAAAAAAAAAAAAAAAAAAAAAAAAAAAAAAAAAAAAAAAAAAAAAAAAAAAAAAAAAAAAAAAAAAAAAAAAAAAAAAAAAAAAAAAAAAAAAAAAAAAAAAAAAAAAAAAAAAAAAAAAAAAATAGGCAAAAAAGAAAAAGAGAGAAAGAGAGAAAAGGATGACCGCGGAAACCTGGCACATCCTTGTGTAATTGTTTCCATTTCAATCAATGTAAAATTACTATAAAAGATATATGTATGTACATCGATCACTAAATTACATCAATTAGCGTTTCCTTTCTCTTGTTCCATTACTAACTATGGTTTACCCAGCGTCGCCTTCTGTAGTTTTTGGGTTGGGCTGCGCGTGTGTATACGTGTTAGGAACCTTAATAAGGCAACGAAGGAGCCCTGAATTTTACGAATGTATCCGTTATTTTCCGTTTTTACATTGTTTAAGCTGCTTTTAAAGCTTTACAATTTTCATAATGCTCAGGCACGAACAAAACCGTTTGTTAATTTTCTCTAAGAAAGAGACCCGGTACCTTGTATGATTCTCCTTCTGTATGCCCTTTATTCTCTATACATCGTAATTCTTCTCTTATCCAATTAGTTAATTAACTGCAATACATTTTATTTAATGATACATCATATGTTGATACAAAAAACTACAAAGCACAAAAATTACGCAAAAGCTTGTGCCACGATACCTACACATTGTAATTGGATTATTCCAAATTACAGCATTTCATAGCGAAAATATACAATTACATGTAAATAACAAATTAAAAAATGTTCGTCGTACACCGATACAAATTTCCGAATATTCGTGCGAGATGCTATTGATCGATATAAAATCTGAACTATCTAACAAAATCTACGAGATTAAACACATGATCGATCCTGTTGAATATTTCACCAATTGTTTTTCGTGCAATTCCTGCACACCATTCAGACAAAAGCTCTCAAAAAATATATAAATATAAAATACCTTTTTTATACCAACGAATATTTAAAGTTTTTGAACGAAACGTATGCATAATCGAACAGAATACAACATTCGTAAAGTTCAGTAATCATTAACAGACAAAACGGCAATTTTTGTACAAAACTTTTAAACAATATTATATCACAGTACTAGCTATAAATACAACGTTTAAAAGAGAGCTGAAAACGAGAGCTAAAGCAGTGCTTCGTTAGACAGAGAAAAGACATCGACCGAAACCCTATACAAAGATTATACACATTCTGCGAGAATCACGGGGGACCGAGGCTCCATCTTTACTCCTACCATTAATGTTTTTACTATAAAAAGAAAGATAGAGAAAGAGAGGAGGGAGGAAGGGAGAGAAAGAGATCTTATTATGCTACGCATCGAAGATCGGATGGAAACAGTATTCACGATAGAACGAAAAACAAACGTGTTTTATAATTGCGACATCGCTAAAAACGTTACAGTGCGCATGAAAATATTTCGGTTCTTCCTTATCACATGTGCAACGATTTTTGCACCTGCTCGTCTCCGGAATATTTATCACTTCGTTCTTTTTTTTTTGTCCTTTGTCCTAAAACAACACGACTTTTTTTTATCGTCTTTGTCATGTTCTTCCTTGTCCTTTTACCTCTTCTTTCTTTTCTTCTTCTTCTTCTTTCGCATTTTCATACGATAACGCGTATCTATGTACGTACGTCGTGACTATTTCTCATCACGTATGTACATGTAAAAGCGTCTGACTGCCGATGATTGACTGGACCGTATTCAGAAGATAAAACGAATCAACCATCCGTTCGAGATGCCGTTGATGACATCGGAGGGTACGGGTTATGTACCAAGGCCGGAATTCCAGTTGCGTCAGGCTGCTGACTGGTCGAAACCGAGCAAGAAATAGAGTGTTGCTATTTCTTGGTTGGCGTGCCCCGTTGCGTCAAACCTTCGAATCGTTTGAACGTGTAATTAATGAATACCCAGTCCTTGTATATTACCTCCCCATCTTGAGGCATTGGCGCGGATGCTGTAATCGGCGAAAAAAAAAAAAAATAGATGGAGAAAATTACATTCGAATTTACGTTACCGGCTAAGTAATCGTACCGCTCTTTACTTCCTCCTGGAATTGGAACAATAGTACGTCGTCATAAATGTTTAGTATACTTACGTATCTCCAATTTCACGTCGGGAAATTCGTCGAAATTGGAAGTATCGTCGATAGAACGTACTTCGACTGGAATTGCTGCTGGCCTTTCTCTGATATGTTCCCAATCGACGCCACGGAAGAAAGGGGCCAGTTTAAGTTCTTCTATACCTCTTTGCGCACCTATGGGTCGTTTTAGAAGAAGGATCGTATGAGTCGTTCAACTACTACATAGCGAAGGTATTTTATCGACGTTTGAACATAGTATATCAAATATTAACCTAATCTTCTATCGGCTTCGCAACAAAACCTGATTATGGTATCTTTAGCTTCCTCGCTAATGGGAACTTCTGGCGGAAAAACCAAGGTTTCCCTCCAATTCATAACCTTCCGGTAAGTTTCTTGGGGATTTTCACTGCAGAATGGAGGATATCCTGAAGCAAAGATAAAAGTTATCGACAAAATTCTGTAGAAAACATGGAAAACAAGCGGTATACGCGTTCTTCTGGCTAAAATCGGGAATATCGTGCATTTACTGGAGCAGAAACTTCAGTACCTATGAGCATCTCGTACATGATAACTCCCAAGGACCAACAGTCACAAGCAGGTCCATAACCTGTTTGTAAAAATACTTCCGGAGCTATGTAATCGGGTGTTCCTACTGTACTATAAGCCAAAGCTCTCCTATTTCTTTTCCAGCTCTCTGCTCTTCTTTTACTATCCATCGCGCCACCGCTTCCGCTTCCGCACGATGTCACTGTAACAAAACGGTTAAACGGTGGTACTTTGAATAAGAAGAATAAGAATAAGAAGAAAAGGAAAGGTAGAAAAAGAGGCGTACTGAAATCCGAAGGCTTCGCTTGACTGAGATCTCTGTAGAAATCGGTTCTATGGGACTTTTTCAGACCCGTACATAATCCAAAATCAGAGAGTTTTATATGACCTCGTGCGTCCAATAACAGATTGTCCGGTTTGATATCTCTGTAAAAAGTGATATTATACCGGTAAGTCTCCAGGTACATCGCTTCGAATCGTTACTTCCATTAGTTTTCGTAACTCTGCATTTTACCTATGAATAAATCCCAGTTTATGTATAGAGTCGATCGCTAACGCTGTCTCCGAAATATAAAATTGCGTGCACTCTTCGGAAAGCGTATCTTTCTTCATCAGCAACGTCATCATGTCACCTACAAGAACACGCGTATTTCGATGATTTTGTATAAATCATATAAATATACCTAATAAATATACTTTCATATAAATATACGTGACAAGGTGCAACGATCGGGACACTAGTTGTAATTTAACGTAAAGTAGGAAATGGTTGCGAATATTTGTCGTAATCGAATTATGTAATGAAATCAAGGAGCGTGTACGTGTACGTTTTGTAGCAATAATTTGCAAGAAAGAGAAGGCAACGAACAAATAACGAGTAAAAGTGTACACTAGCGCGAGAGCTATAATTGAAATGAAAGCTTACCGCCTGGAAGAAACTCCATGATTAAATACAAATTTATAGGATCTTGAAAGCTATAATACATTTTTACGACCCATTGATGATCCGCTTCCACCAGGACGTCTCTTTCCGCCCTGACGTGCGCCACTTGCTCTTTTTCCAGCATGTCGGCTTTTCTTAAAATTTTCATCGCATATACGTGTCCGGTATCCTTCTTTTGCACGAGTCGTACCTATTCGATACACAACGACAACAAGATTACAGAGATTATCTTTAAAAATCGTTGGCATTCTACGCGTTTCTTTTAGAGAGTAACAGTTTTTCGATCACGGTAACATTTCAATTAATTTATCATCCAGCTTTCTGCAACGCAAATTTACCTCTCCGAAAGCACCTCTGCCGATAACTTTGAGAGGCTCGAAATCTTCGACGCCAAGTCGGGAACGTTTCAAACGAAGAAATTCAGTTTCTTTCTGAGCATGCTGCAACCGTTTCTCCTGCTTCTGTTGTTCCGACAGACCCTCGTCTTTCAACGATTCCTCTAATTTCGCGAGCCTTTGCTTTCGCTCGATGTGCTGAGCTATCAGATTACTGTAGTAATTCTCCAACGTTACCTAAAGCCAAAAACACATAAATGTCGATAGAAAAAGCAAACTATCCACGTACGTACGTACATGGTTCGCATGTATCGAAAAATGGGTTAAACAATCTCTTACTAGGGCAATGTAAATGAAAATGCCACGGCTAGCGTGCGTTTTTCGTACAGATATCTGTACGCATCGTTCAAACGTTAATTTACAACCGTTTGAAATTTACTACGCAAAGATAAGAAATACGACGAATGAAAAACGAAAAGCGAGATTGTCAGTGAGAGAAAGAAAGAAATTACCTTGGCCTTTGTAGCTTTGTCCAATGTATGGCCGCTGAAACGGATCGTGCTCTCTGTGGCCGCCATCTCCAGCACCCCTGTAATACATGCAAAAGGAGGTCACTGAGTGGCGCACACCGATCTCCAGAAGCGAGGTCTCGTGCCGTGACAATGACACAAATCCTTTCGCACCGAAATCCTTCGATCTAGTTAAAAACGGTAATGCGAAGGGACCAACGACCGAAATTTCAAAATTTCCTCCATTTATCGCACGATCGTCGGTCGTTGTCTCGTAAGATATCTTCCCAAAAGTTTATTTATAGAGCTACATCGAAAGGCGCTGTAGTCTGGAATCGATACGATTGACGGATATCAGTAAAGAGACACGTAGGAATAATCGGTTCGTCCACCGTGCGTCGAATATCGGCCGTCTCGAAAGCAACACGAACGTTCTCTCGCGTAGAGCAAAAGTTGACTAGCCTTGGAGTTTATTAAATAATGGCTGCGGTGAATGATCGTGCAACGTTCGGTCGAGACAGTGTTTGCGTACTGCAGTCACGGAATCGAAAATCTGTTTCTCAGCGGATAGCGCGACATCGCTATGTCGCCTAATTCTAACAGCGATATCGAAGAAGCTGAGAAATGCCGAGTAACTTGGCGCGTTAAAAGGTTCGAACGTCGAGTCGGGGGAACTGGCCGCGGTACTTGAAACAACGTTGATACGTTTTCGTTCTTCGTTTCACTCGACCAAGTGGTTTATACTTACTGGGAGAACAACGTCGCTGCTCCCTTACGATTCCGCGAATACGAGGACCATTTTACCGGAGATACGAGAACGAACACAGACGCGGAGATACGAATACGAAATCGAATCGAAGAAATATATGTGCCGAGATATAGCGAAGAGATCGAACGGCACGATTCGCCAGCTTCGCGTACGTCTCCGGTACACTCGTCCTCAAGGTATATTTCGCGATTCGATCCTCGCACAACTAGGGAGTAGGTACAATGACGTCACGCGCTGATTACATTACGGTCTGCAAGGCCGCATTAAACTATTCTAGAAGCCATACTTTGCGCGTCTCTTGCGTTCAGTCTGCAAATAAAGGGTAACATAAGACACGCGAACAACGTTCTTCTTGCGCCGTTCTCTACGCTACCCGGCTCTTCGTTCCGACTTTTGTAATTAATCTCGTGTTCTCTCGCCGCTTGGAATACTAAGAAAATCTTTCGATCGCCGAGACTGTCTCACTCGTCTTATCTTCGATAATTCTTCTTTAAAATCCGATAAAATTACGACTCGTTTCGACGATATTTGAAACAATTTCGAAAATCACTGGATACATTTATCGCGATACGACGCGGAGAACGATTACGATCGATTGTAAGATGCGGATCAAAGATACGCAACGTCGTCGATCGTACGGCTTCTCTTCGACACTGGTTGCGTAAAACGCGTACCGTCAGTGTTTTCGTTACTAGCCGGTCTTCTCTGTTCTTTCGGCGTTGCGCGATCGAAGAGTTCGCGACTATTTTGATAAGGGTAATTTCGTCTCCTTCTTTCGCCAAAATCGTTCGTGACATCGAGACGACCTTACTGCTGCGAAATAGCGATCGAGCAACGTAGATATCATTGAGAATCGAACTGACTCGAACCGCTGAATTGGAAACGGCAAACGGCACGATGATAAATAACCTGTGCACTGATAAATAATACAATAGATTCGCGGACAAACGCCGACGTTTCAAAAACTTTCGAGGGAAAGCGTTTCCCGTTTCGATCGCTGCACGGACGATACTTAATACTCGTTAACGTTAAGAAACTATCGTACGAGAAACCGCGATGTAACGAATAAACAGGCACATTGCCAAAATGAATCGTAAAAGGCAACAGAATAGAGCATAGAGTAAAACTATCGGAACTTTGGATATTACGTGCACAACGTCGTTGAACTTCGGTTAGAAATCGTGTGAAAGCGAGAACGTTGATTGCATCTTGCTATAACGACCTTCGATCGAGTCGAATGTAGTTTTAACTATCAGCAACGCCACTAACTATATATGTAGATACATTCACGTTTTTAGCTATGTACTTTGCCATATTTCTTTACATTGTATCGAGTACTGTGCGCGAAACGCGTATGGAAGCGTGACGTTGTAATCCTATAAGGAAACCGATAAAAATATGAATTAATTACTTATTTCCTTGCTAAACTGTCCTTTCCCTATCTCGTACGTCGATGATTCTTTCGCAAATTGAACGATCGTCGAAACGGCCTTCTACTTTACAACAACGTTTAATCAGGGAATCAAAGCTTTCGAATTTTTGCTAGTCGAAGGCTTACGACGACTAAAGCCCCTGATATCACGCGCGCGAAGAAGTTACGAGGCAGAAATTATGGTGGTGTACGTGGCACACGGCGAGTTATCGACAAATATCGCCGGCATTATCGAATAAAGTTAACGTATCGTCGCAGATGCTCTTACGTTTAGACCGTGCCACTTACTCTCGGAAACGCGCGTGCACGTATCAACAAAACGCTGTCTCACTAATAGCCGAGATGTTCTGCCTGGTCTTCTTTCCTTTCGAATTTCTTCCGTATCGCGATACACCATCGAAATTCCATTCTTTGGAAATTGGGTTAGAATCGATCTTCCGTTTACAGTTCGATAAAACGAAATGTTACGCGTAGAACACAAATTGGAGAGTATTTTTATAGAAAGTATCGACGACGGAACGCAACATCTCGAAACATCTCGCAACAAGCGTACGAGTGTGCGCGTGATACGAGAAACTGGACGTGTTCGAGTAAGAACATCGAGTAACGCTGCGAGCCGTCTACCGCATTACCGCAAGTTGGCGTAAGTGGGCGAGCATCGAGGTTTTTCGACCGGAAACGCTTGCCAAAGCATTTCGGATAAAAATCTAAAAATTTCCTCGTGACTTTGCCTTTGAGGCATAACGCTTTCACGAATAGGGTTAAACAATTCTAACAGCCGTGACGATTGTTTTTAACGCCATTTTCGGAAATTGATCGACGAACGAACGATGTCGTCGAACGAATTATCTTCATTCGAAAGTAACAACGACTATAACGTTAACGACGAGGATTGAATCTGATCGACGCTGATCGACTATCGCGGATAAAGAGAAACCGTTTAGAGGTAGGAAGCGAAACGCAGGTGAGATAATACGCAAGAATAAGCGTAAGTTTATTCAGCCTCAAGGGCTATTGTAATATTCGTTCGATGTCGTAATATTTAACTTGAAATTACTCTGAAGTTGCTTTGAACATCAAGTTCGTCTTTTGTTCGCGAATCGCAGATGTATCGATCGCAGCGATCAAACTCGAGAAAGGCAGAGAGAAAAGAGAAAGGGGAAAGGAATGCGCGTTTTGTATTGCTACGCGTCCATAATTACTCGGAGCGTTTATTATATTTTTATCCAGTTCTAACGATAATTCGCGTAAACTACGGCGGAAAAAGGGAAACATGGGAAAACGGGACAACCAAGAAAAAAGCGCTATGTCGGGGAACGGTGAAGGACTAAAGATTAGCTGTATATATGTGTCGCGTGCACATACGTATCACGCGTTACGCTACGAACATACCAACTATCGAGAGCATGAGTCACGTATGCGTAGGCGTCGATGGTAATGGTGCTTATCGTCGTCAGCACTTTTAAAGATTATTTACATTCGACGACCGTGTAAATAACGAAGGCGATCGAGCACCTTCTTCCTTAGCGCACACGTACGCTACTATGGCGAGTAATTGCGGAAAACCGATTTCTTTTTACGTGATCGACGGTTACGGCGTTCAAACGGCATGCATTTTCAAACACCTCACGTTTTCGCGACGGTGAACGAACGGGTAATGCCCGCCATAAAAATCCTGTGTAGATATTCTTCGAGACACTTGCAATTCCGATCATTCCTCTTTGCAAGATGCTACGAAAATTATCTATGTCGATACGCGCGATTCTATACGCTGATCACTGACGCGTACGATACTTTACTTTCGTCTCTTCTGTTCAACGCCGTCAGAATTCGTGTTTTTCCTTCTCCTTTCTTCCAAACTCTCTTTTATCTTCGCGATTTGCTCCGAACTAGCCGCTCCATGTTTTCTACCTAGTGATATTTTCTTCCTATCCATTTTCATTTTTTTTCCATTTCGTCGCTACCGACACTCGCCGATTCAAACCTTTTTCATAATTCATCGTCATTTTCTCTGTTCTCGATTCCTAAGACCCGATTCGAATTATCTTTTACTCTTTATACTTTTCGTTTGAAACTTCTTTCCTTTTTATTTTCTTCCGCTATCTTCAAAGACGAAACTTCGCAGTAAGAAAAACATTCTCACGATGGTTGATCGTACTTTCTCATCGAGCGATGTGAAGTTTCGTAAAACGAAGCGCGTTAATTGCGTGGAAAGGCCGTATAATTTTAACCAACGATAATTCCCTGTAAATATACAATTACGAATATCTGCTAAGAGATAAAAGCGCCGCTATAATTTATTCGCTATGATTGGTTTGAAAGACCAAGGAATGTTCGCGACCGACGTCACAGTTATATACAACGAATCTAAAAAGCAGTAGCAGTACCTAAATTTATCTCGAGGATACACGCGGCGACCGCTCGGTGCAGCATTGATCGATACTTTGCTACTAAATTCGACAAGATTTCGTTGAAGATTTCTTTTTCGATACCGCTTCATGCGCTCCAAAAAATATCTCCAAATATAACGCGTATACAACTAACGTAGAAACATAGAAAAAGATTAACAAGAAACGTCGTTATTAAATTTAATTCGACGTTTATTCGTAACGATTCCGTCGATTTTCTACATAGAATCGTTCAGCGATCGATACGATTATACGTACGTACGTATGTATACAGGGTGGTTGGTAACCGGTGGTACAAGCGGAAAGGGGGTGATTCTACGCGAAAAAAGAAGTGGAAAATATAGAATAAATTAGAATAAATTAGAATAAATTAGAACGAGACGTGATAAAGTGCACGCGTACCGAGCAAAAATTCAAAGTCGATTTTCTCGAAAACAAAGCCTCGAACGAAAAATTTTTATTCTATATTTT